GAGGGAGGACATGGGTGGGACTTCAGTCAGACAGGAAGAAGAGGCAGAGGGTGGAACCCCCAACTCCACAGTACAGCACAGGTGCTGCGCAACAGCCTTTCCCCCCAAATGTGCTGATCCTTTTGTCCTGGCCCAGGGAGGCCAGGAGCCTCTGCGCCTCCTGTGGATACGTCCTCCTGCCAAGCGCCCACTCAAACCCATGACCTAACGTTCAAAAGCAATGCAGCCAAAACTCATTTGGGTGACGTGAGCTGCTGAGGTAGGACTTATTTTGAGCATTTCTCAAAGCATCTAAGTAAACATGTGCCACAGAAAGAGAAAACACATCAGTGGAAATAAAAACCAGAGGAAAATTATTATCTGCAAGAATCGTTAAACCATATCCTTAAAAAGTTGATTCGTAAAGCAATCAAATCATATTAGCTTTCCAGAAATAGCCTCATAGAGATAAAAGCCATTCATCGTTAAAAGGTCCACTTAACGTTCAATGTAACATTGATCATTACAGTATTTGTTAGTTCTCTTCTTTTATATCTGTACCTGCGATGCTGACAATGAAAATCGAGATTCCTAAAAATATTAACAAATGTACTCAGTTGTTATATCTCTTAATATACACACATTTGTTTTAAAATTTGTAGTGGAAGGCTCCCAGTGAAACTAAGAAGAGAAGCTTACGTTTTTGGTGCAGCTCTGTCTTGGCAATACAGGCCACTAAAACTGCATGGAAAAACGTTTAAAGCCTTTAAAACCAATATTTTCTCCTTGTGGCTATGTTGCTGATATGTTTACAGATTTTAGGTTCTTCATTTGTTTGTGTTTAACTGTAAGATTTGATGTTTCCTCCTGTTTCTGCTTTAGCTTCACCATTTAAATATGCAAACATATACATCTTTCAAAATTCTAGATAAGATATCCTGAGAGAAGTCTCAGACTCATCCTTATCCCCCACAAGGGGAATGTTCTTTAAATACCCATCACAGAAGCCTCTGTTCCATGCATACGACAGAGGACCAGAAGGCTCTGGAAGGGCAGGCTCCTCTCCCAGCATGAGTGCCTCGCTCCCCACTTTCTCTGGGCACAGCTGGAACCCTTGGCTCATGCTCTCTTCGTTAGCAACCGCTGCCACTCCAGCCTGTGCCACCAGAGAAACTCTGTCATCCTCCCTCAAGCAAGAGCCACCAACTTTGGGGGACAAAATTTAAAAGTGCATGTCTGGGTTACCTGTTTTGCAATGTGATGGCTTGTTAAGCGCTACTTTGAGACGTGATTCTTCGGAGGGGAGGCCTCCGGTGGAAAGGGGCTGCTCCCCCATTTCCCAAAGTGAAAAGGAGCAAGCCCAGGGGCGGGGGAGAGGAGGAGCTAAAGATTTGGGGTCAATGCAAAGTCAGGATCCATTTCAAACGTGCTGGGTAACATGGAAGAACTCAAAGTTCCTGGTAGAGAGAAATGGGTAGAAGGCAGAAATATTCCCCGCTCGCCTTCCAGTACTGTGGTTGTCCAAACTGCTGCCCTTTGGACAAGCTGTCAAAGTATTTCCCTGGAGTCATGCCAACTACGGACAGACAGACAGATGGATCTCTCTATACACACCGAATGTAGGCAGAAGGAGTTGTAGACTGGTGCTGAGTGTACACTGGTGCCGAAGTTGGCCAATGGCACCTTGCCCTTGGAGGCCACAGAAGCTGGCTGCTGTGGGGGCCGCTGTCTCTCTCGCTTGGTGGAGAGGAAAAGCTGGTGTGGGCACCAGTACCCTAGCACAGCCCGGCACTCTGGCGGCTCTCTGGGCAGGTGGTGACCATGGTGGGCTGGTCATAAATCACAAGGCGAGCCACAGCCACCTCGGTGGCCTCGTGGCCAGGCGGCTTTATTTTCCAGTTGTATTGTTTTTTACTGAGGTGATGCTGTATGATTTAGGGGTACCGGGCAGCACCCTTACATCACCACGCCACCCCACAGAGCATCTGGCTGGGAGAGAAATGGTCACTGGGACTGGCCTTCCCCCCTCCCAAGGCACACCAAAGCTGCACCAGGGTGCCCAAGGAATGCCTGGCAGCGACACGCTGAGAGCTGGGAAGCATGCCCTACTCGAGGTAAAAGTGTGTCCTGCGAACCCACAGGAAAGCTGTTGAGCAGACCAGCCTGTGGACCCCCATGGGGAGCCCAGAGCCTGTGAACTTCTGCTCTCATCGCAGCTCTCTTGCTCGGGCCCGAGTCGCCCGCAAGGAAGCACGTGGGCTCGCGAAAAACGGTCTCGTCTTCACAGTTAAAAACAAAAGGATCTGGTCCTCATTTCCCTGCTTCCTACACCCACAAATCGCTTACTTTAGGCTAGAATGGAGCTAACTGTGTCATTCTGATGACTTTTCGTGCAGCTTACATCAACCTTAGCAGAGGCGGCCTTCAGCCCTCTACCTGCCACTGCTGCTCTCTCCTGGCCTCTCGGAGTCAAGAGGTGACCACCGTTACGGCTGCCTCTTCTGTACTCAGGCACAGGGTCGGGGACTGTTTTCAGTGCTGAGGGGACAGCCGTGAAGAAAAGCCAAGTGAATTATGTGAGAGGTTTGGCAAACTCCTCTGGCAATTGACATTTTGTAATGTTGGTTATCCAATCCATGAATATACAGTCTCTCCATCAGAAGGAAGACTCTTTTTGTTAGCTCTGTGGCCCGTGAAGAAAAAGGAGTGAAAGCCCTTACAGAGGACTCGCTCCACCCAGGTACTGTTCTACATATTCTTTACACATATTATGCAACTTAATTCCCCTACTGGCCCTCTGAGGGTGTCACAATGATCTCCATTCTACAGATGAGAAAACTGAGGCCCAGCAAGCCTAAGTTACTTTGCTAAAGTCAGTCAAAGGTGGAGCGGGCCTTGAAGCCAGGCCTTCTTGGCTCCAGAATGCCTTTTTCTGACCCTGGTGGGGCTAAGGCCTCCCGAGGGTCTGTTTCTGACATAATGGAATTTCAAACAGCAGGAGGCAAGTGGAGTCATATGTTGGAAAAGGAGTCATGTTCCAGAGAGAACTGGCAATAAAAGTTGCTGTTTGGCTGCCTGATAAGGATGGAATGGGGCTTGGAGAATTTCATACTCTCATGAAATAAACATGTGATTTTGACCTTCCAGAAGTGACAAACTATTCCAAGTATCCCATTTTTATCTTTTCTCCCTTTCAGCCTTCACTTTAGACCTCACTGTCCTGGCAGAATCTTGCTCAGAACTGCCTGTGGCTTTTCCAGGGCTGGACAAGCGTTCAGACACACGTACCCTGACACGCAGGAACACGGCTGGCTTTGGGACGAGCAAAAGGACAGTGTTGGTGGCAAAGCTGACAGTCTTGCACAAAAAAACCCCTCACTTTGTGGGGGCGGGGGGTGTAGGACTGGAAAGCCAGAAAGGTTAAGGGATATTTGGCAAAGCCATGGAGCCAGATGCTCTCGTCTCTTCTACAGGTGCTGGTCAAATGTGCTCACAACGGGCAAATTCCTGTTCCTGGCACCCCGTGCCCATCACACATTCTGGACAGGGACCCCGGGCCCCAGCATCTGCATCTCTGGGTGCTGGTTAGAGATGCTGATTCTCAGGCCATACACAGACTTAATGAGACAGCATCTGCACTTGCTACTACCCCCATAACAAGGTTTGCCCCACTTTATCAAGCGTCCCCCCATTGAAGCTGGAGAAACACTGGAATGCTCACTGACTCCACTTTCTAGATACTTCAGTTGCAGGGAGGGCAGCTGTTGCCTTGATACTGGTCTCAACACATCCATGTCCTGAGAGGTCCAGTCTCAACTGTCTCTGATAACTTAACATTACCTTCCTGCTGCACAATGATCTTCAGTTTGTTTTAATGGCACATCTAGATGTTCTAAGATCCCATCAGCCCTTGGTGATCAGACAGTCAGGCTTCCAATGAGCAAAGCTATGTTTCTTATGAGACTCAGAGATAAATGGCCAATAGCCACTCTCATCTTTGCAGCGACTCCCGCTGGTGTTTTTCCTTTCGAGGCAGGTGAATGATGGCCTGCCCTAATCGCAGGCAGGCCCTTCAGCACAGACAACAGACATAATGCTCAGCGTGGCTCCTGTGCCGCTCAATACAGACTAGGCAAGATAACAGCAGGAACGGCTACCACTTAGGTGATGTTGCCACGATTCTGGCCTGGCGCTGTGTCAAAGGCTTAATGTATAGAAAAGTCTCTGAGTCCTCACAGCAACCCTATGTTACAGGTGCGGACGCTGAAGCACAGAGACGCTAGGTGGCTCATCCAAAGTCATGCAGCTAGCTCACGGTGGGAATTCGAACACAGCCAGCACACCACCCTGCCTCCCCAAATCCACATGAGTGCTGCCCAGGGTCCCAAGGGTTCCCCCACTCAGATGCACTCACAATAGGGCTGATCATTTCATTAGGAGACTACAATCCACTCCAGGACTTTGTGCGACAAGAAGGAAGAAGCGGGGCAGACAGCCACCACATGACCTTATGGGTTAGACCATGACCTGTGGTCTCTATTCTTGGTTGGAAATGCGAGAGCACCTGGCCTGTGACCTGGAAGTGCTTTAAAATGTTGTCTCCCTGTAATCGGAATCAACGCCAACATTCAAACTGCCCCGCGTCTTCTGTAAATGAGCAGCAGTTGTAAACCCAGGATTCGTGGTATTGCTGGCTTTGCCGACTGATCAAATCAGTGGGCTGGTTTCTCGTTTTAGCTGCAGACAGCTCAAGTCTCTTTGGAAATGAACTGCTAAGGACAATTTAAGGCAGTGCAACTTCTTAAATGAGCTGGCTTTCCTGTAGTTTTCCTAACTACGGGTTTTCCTGCAGCATAGAATTTCAGGGTTCGCTTAGGTTCACTAATTCTGACCCCTATGAAGCAAGCATGTCCCATGGGGCAGGAGCTCTGAGACGCCCAGGGAGAGCTGATGACCCGGCGGGGCCATTGCGACATCACTGCACGTGTCAGTTTCCACAAAAGCACAGTAGCAGGGCTTACCGTGATTCCCAGTGCTTCTCCAGAAATGACGGCGATCGTCACACCATCCTTGCTGGGTTTAGGGATTTCTTTACTTTTCAGTTCCTGGTATTGAGGTGCCACCATCTTCTCCGAGCTCCTCAAGTTCACCCACAGCTGCAGGCCATGGACCGGCTCCTCTGAGCACGGCATCTCAGCGTGCACGATGCCGCGACCTGCAGTCATCCACTGCAAGAACAGACCAACAGGAAGGCAGGTGTAGCCCAGTCTTTCACAGGTGCAAGAGGGGGGATTACCACAGGGGGCAGGGGGTAAGTGAGGCTCCTCGCCGGGCTGCTTTCAGCGTCCTTGGGCCTCATGAGGACTAACAAGACAAAAATGGTTCCTGAAACCCTTTTCTGTTTTCCCAAGGCTTCCCAGTTTGCTCCTTTGTAGTCAAAGCACCAGACCTGAAATTTACACCAATGAAAGAACTCTCTTTGAGACAGAGTTCTTGGTAGGGTTCTAAGCTGGGGAGTAGCAGGTGGCTAGCAGACTGGGAGTGCTCTTGGGAGATAAGCATTAAGTGAAAAAAGCAGGATAGGGCAGTGGGAGGTTGGAGCCAATCTCCCTTGCCCAGAGCCCCAGAGTCGGCTGAGCCTTCAGGACTGTCCAGGATCAAGGCAAGGTAGCCAGGTGGGCACACACCAGGGGACTGTGACTACCTGAAACCACAGGCCGTCAAAGGGCAGGCCCATGGCAGCATTTTCCACATGGACATAATGGAGAGAATTATACAAAACACGGTTGATAATATGCGCTTGGTGTGGTAAAGAATGCTCGGTTTCCACGACAGCACGTGAAGTGGCCTGGTCAAGGTAAGGTGGCTGGGAACTAAACAAGGTATAGAATGGACCAGGGGGAAGGGGGAGAGAAAAGGCCCCATACAAAGGGAAGAGCACATGAAAAGAAAGACTGAGATGTGCATGAGCAAGATTAGTCCAAGGATCTGAAACAAGACCAGTAGATACTTTTGAGCTTTCTTTCGCTAAATCTAAGTTGACTTCCCAATATCTTCCACTTGGTAAGGCAGACTCAATCTACTCTAGGGAGTCTGCAGCTACCAGCAAAACAAGCCTGCCACTTGTTCTGGTAAATAAAGTTTTATTGGCACCAGACACACCACTCGCTGGCGTACTATCTGCTTCTCTGCTATGCACGCAGGGTTGAGTAGCTGCTGCCGAGCCTGAAGTATTACTATTTGGTCCTTACACCTCACCTTCGCCGGCCCCTGCTCTAGTGCAGTGCAAAGGAGGTGGAATACCCACCCAGGCGTTTCTGCCAAGGAGAGAGAGACCAGTCCTCCTATTTGGAAGCGTATTCCTGTTCTGTTAACAGTGCATCTCTCCATATTTGCAATCGACCTTTCATACCTCCATTACCCTTTAGGAGGTATAACTGAATGTGGCGGTCCCTTTCTTAAAATGGCCCACCCACTGGATTTGGAAGGGGAAAACAGTTCTCTCTCCAACCTCACCATGCACGAGCTCTGAGGCCACGGACGTCTTTTTTAAATGTGCTTATATTTTAAAAAAATCCCGTTGCTGCTGTCATTTTTAAAATGAGGCTGAAAGCACTCAGAAAAATCATGCACGTGGGAAATCCTGCATAAACTAAGAGACACGCGGCCAGCATTATCTTCATGGAATGGGAAATCCTACCAGCAGAAGTGCTGACCAGGGAGATCAGCAAAATGGGCGTTACTGAGCAGGAGACATGGCTGCGTGCTCAGAGTTGCCGCCTGCTGCCCGGTCAGGACACTACCAGTTATCACAGCCACCTCGCACTTCATGTCCTGCCTCATGACAGCTTCCTGGTGACTTGTGGCCATGACTCTTTGCTCTGGTTTTTCTGTCTTTAAATTTCATGTTCATCAAAACACTGTCATTCAAATATTTTGCAGGTAAGCTTCCACCAAAACATCCCACACAGAGGTCAGACTTACAAAATCGGCCAAGATGAGCTAAGCATTTCCCTCAGATTTACATCCTGACGTGTGAGACAAGACTAGCACGGTGGTGGGCTTGGGGTCACTGGCAAAAGCAGCAATGCCCAACCCTGCCAATGAGTTGGCGGATGACTAGTAGATGATCTTAAATGCAGTAGAAAGGTCTAGAGAGATGAGGATTGGAGATTTGGTGTGCTGAACTTGACAGCTAGGACATCACAATGACCATAACCTGAAGAGCTTCACTGGGTGGGGGGCGGGGGTTGCTGAGAGGCCAGCCCTGTTTTCAGTGAGTGAACAATGAAATGGAAGATAAAGAAGCTGATTCAGTCATTCTTGACTGGTCCTGAGAAATACAAGGAAAAGATCAGGTGGGAGCTAACCGGCAACTGAGGGGTCAAGGAACATGAGAGAGGAATAGAAGCATCAGGCTGGGACATGAGTAGCCCCCCTCAATTCCTCATGCTTAGCTGTACCTGCAGGTCCCCTGGATTCAACTGACCGACGTGTCCACAGAAGTCTTCATGGGCCATGCTGCCCCCTTCCAGAAGGTAAGACACCTTTGAAAAGACAAACACAAAACAAAGTAGGTGTTGGGCAGCTGTGAAAACTGGTTCACAGAAAATTTAAGGGAATGGTAGTAGCCAAGAGGACAGTGGAGCGAGCTGAGGAAATGGGTCTCTGCAATGTCTTCGAGAGAATATCAAACAGGGACCCCTTTCTCCCAGCAGACAGAGCCATGAGTGAGCCAAAGTAGAGGCTCCCCCACCACTCAGCCCCGCAGGCCATGGTCTTGCCATGATGGTCCAGGGCACAGGGTCAAAGAGCAGCTCCCACTGAAATGTTGGGACTCTGCGGTCAGGGCTGCATCCACCGGGTCATGTGGGTGACTGACCCAGATCTCCACAACTTCCCCTACAAGCTGATTGGGGAAATCCAAAGGAAATGAGTTCTTGTAACCAAGCACACAAATCCACCAAGCACTCAATGAATATGTCAAATGAATTCACATAGATCTAAGTCAACCTCTCCAGAGGCACAGCCTTCCTGAATCTAAACATGCAAAGAAGTTCTGTGTTGTCTCAGAGAGTAGCTCTAAGCCAGGTGTGCTTAAGTTTAAATGAACTAAAATGAAACAGAATGATAAATTCAGCTCCTCGGGGGTCATCAGTCATTTCGAGCGTTCAGTAGCTAGCCCGGCCACTGACTGCCATGGTGAATAACACAGATTACAGAACTTTTTCATCTTGACAGAAAGTTCCATGTGACAATGCTGATCCAGATAAGTAAATTGGAAAACAGTGGTCAAGCAGGGGGAGGCATGTGGCGTGGGCAGCAAAGCCTGCCCAGGCCACTCCGTGAGTGTGGTAGCTCCTGGCACAGCCAGGTGGGCACCAGCTCCGAAAAGCAGGGAACAGTAAAATCCTATTTCATTATTTACGAAGAGGGAAATCAGATGGAACTGGAGGGAATTAAGCTAAGCAAAATAAATCACAGGGAAAAAGACAAATACTGGATAATTTCACTCCTATGTGGAAAATCAAGAAACAATGCAAAGGAACAGACAGCCCAGACCAAAACAAACTTTTGAAATCTGAAGGCAGGTCAGAGGCTGCCAGAGGGGGAGGGCCGGGGGGGCACAGTGGGGAGGGGGCGCAATGGGCTGTAGTGGAGTACTGGCGCTTTGGTGGCGAACGTGGTGTGGGAACGTACATTTGTAGATATGAACCTGCACCCCTAAAACATAAACAGTGCTACAAGCCCACATTACTTCAGTAAACATAATTTTAAAAGGAAATCAAGCAGCTCTAATTTTTAGAGCTACTGTGATTATTCTATAAACGGATTTAAAAGACACTCAAGCAATTACAAAAACTTTTAAATTACCCCAGGGCTGTGGTAATATTACTTGAAATAAATAATTTAATACTTAAAGCTTAAAATAGTGTGTATGGTGGGATAGGTGGGGTGGGGGGGAGGGGCTTTCTTAGAACTCTCTTAGAACCGACCACCCGTTTTACTCATATTTATAAACACATATTTATGACCTGAATCTGTAATTCCTCCAAGAACACCAACCGTCCCAATCAGATCTAAATGTGGGTGCAGCGGCAGGATTATCTGTAAACCTGCCTGCTCCCTGCCTCAGGCCGCTGGTAATAACTTTCTACATCGATGCTCCTGGACCAAGTTCTCACACTCTAGCTGCTCTCCTGTGTTCTTCACAGCTTAATGTGTTTATCTTTTTGACTTTTGGAAATTTCATTTCAGAATGAGTCAGAAAATGCAGCCTGTAATTAAAACCCAGCACCTCTTGTTATTATGTGCTCCAAACCTAATTTTTGCTCAAAGATCCATTCCACCAAATGTAACCATTTTTTAAAGATTTATTTATTTATGCATACAGAAGTGGGCTACAGGCCAGAGGTGCAGAGGACCCACCAGAGACAGAGCGGGGAGCAGAACAGGAAGAACTGATGAAGAACACTGCTGAGAGGAGCAGTGGGCGGGTCAGGAGAGGTCTGCCACGCCATGTGGGTCACTTCCCAGGGCAGGGATCGAACTCATGCTGCAGTGGCTTTAGCTCCTTAGTGCGGTGCTTTAACCTGTTGTGTCACCAGGGAGGGCCCAAATGTAACCATTTTAAATCAGTATTTAATACCTTTTTTTTTTAACCAGCAAATCATAACTCTCTAAAAACAACAAAAAGAAACAAAGTGGAAATATGATTATATTTAAATAAGAAAGAAAATCAAAACAAAATTGCCCAAGATGTCAGAGAAAATACTTATGAAGTTCTCAGCATATACATTAGCTACTGTTATTTTCCACAAATAATACAAGAATCCATTACATACTTCTAGGCCAGACTGCTTTTTAAATCAAAGTTATTACTTCTTGCTCCATAAAAATGACACCTACCTAACATCTTTCAGTGTCCAAATTAAAAAAAAAAAATTGTATAAGTCACGAGCGGCCATGGGTGTTTGGTCACCTCGCCGATACGTTTGCCTATCTGGGAAATGGTTGAGAGATGACCCATTCACAGATGTAAAACCCATGGCAGAACCACTTTACAATAATAAACTAAGAGGAAGCTCACCAACCACAATGATCTATGAATCCATTGAACAATATTCGCTAGGGTTTTACAATGGAGAACACACCAAGGTCATTGTCTAACGCGGACGGCAGAATTCAAGTAGCAAAATATGGACAAAGGCCTGCTGGGTAGTACGGGGTGGGCGTCTCACTCACACCTGTGTGCCAGGCAAGGCTTCTCAGAGGGGCTGAGACCTTAAGGTGAGATGAGTGACCAAGACGGAAAAAGATGGTGATGATGGGGGCCAGAAGCGTTTTCTAGGCATAGATGGAGACCCAGAAGCAGTGGGAACATGACTCACCCAAAGAACCAGAAGGCAAGAGGTGGCCCAGAGGGATGTGGATGGGCCAAGGCCTGAAACTAACCACAGCACCACCCTGGAATGAGCCATGCCTTGGCCTTCCCCACATGTGCTGGCCTACACCGTGTACCCCTGTTCCACCAGCAGTAGCTGCTTAAACCAGGGCAGGACCCTCCCCAAAGTGTTAGGAGAACCCGCTGCCACCCCTTATGGCATCTCTTTGCCCACGCAGGCTGCTCCATTAACATGTCTAGCTCTTGCTCGAACCTTCCTCTCCCTTCCACAGTGGAAGCTTAATATGACTGGGAACATGGGTGAACCCCTGTCGCTCCTTTTCTCTTTGGGCATCAGTGTTCCCTCAGAGAGCAAAGGTTCTTTTGTGCCCTCTGCCCCCTGTGAGAGGGGCCAGCCCCTATGGTGCTGGCCTACAGGGGCCCAGAGAAACCAGTGAAAGCTGAATAAAGTGTGTGCAAGCTCAGGTGCAGAATTCGGAAGCCCAGCTGCCTGCAAGTATAAGCTACATTCTCCAATGCCAGCTTTACTAGAAATAAAGACAAACTTTTGTCTGCCACCTTTCTTTCTCATGTATATTCCCCTAACATTCAGAATTCAGGCTGGAAAGGGCAGTCAAAGACCTGCTAGTGGCATGCTGTTGGAATGCTCTAGCTATGCAGGCATGTTTAATCAAAGTAACTGCACAATAGGCCCTCCCTAGTGGCGCAGCGGGTTAAAGCACAGCACTAAGAAGCTAAAGCCACTTCCGCATGAGATCGATCCCCACCCGGGAGCTGACCCACAGGACGCCGCAGACCTTTCCTGACCTGCCCGCTGTTCCCCTCAGCAGTGTACTTTGTCGATCTGCCCGTTCTGCTCCCCACTCTGTCTCTGGTGAATCCTCTCACCCCCTGCACCTCTGGCCTGTACCGCAGCTCTGTATGCATACATAAATAAATCTTTAAAAACATAACTGCACAATAAAGGCAATTTTCATTCTGTGTGGGCTAAAGCTCCCCTTTGGACTCTCCCAGGAGTCTCTTTCAAATCATATTGTTTTCCATCCAAACCTAGGGCTTTCAAGCTGCTAATCATCTGAAAATATGAGCAGCAACTTTTAAAAGTAAACTGTGGTGATCAGACTCACTTGAAGATGAAAATTTACCTAGACACCAAGAGAGCAGGGCTTTTGGTTTTGTTGGTTACTACTGTACTTCGAGAGCATTCCATCACTTTCTGGAAGGCAAGGAAGCCAGCAGCTCCCTCTCCTCCTCTCTCTCTCTGCCATGCAAATATTCTCTTTTCTCGGCAATACAGAAGTAAACGTCATTTTCCCATCCTAAATACTTTAAAATCTGGCTCGAACTTTTACTGAGTCTGTGATGTCTTCTGAGTCTGAGTCTGTGATACTTGTAAGACTTTGAGGAAAGCAAATCTCATTTCAAGGAAACAATCACCTTATCGGATTACCTTTCATTGATGTTTGTACGAACTGCTGTAAATGCTACACTGAGGCCTTAGGTAAAAATCACTATCTGCAGAGGCGTGTGTGGAATTCGAGCAGTACTTCGGAGCACGGACACATCCCAGAGGCTTGTTAGGACGCCCCATAATCACGAACACCTGGTCAAGAGCTGCGGACGGTGGCTGGGACGGGGCCATGTTTAAAATCAAGAGCTGCTATGTGTCTAGTTGAGTAGGAAATTTGTAATCTGACATAGGTGTTCTCTGAAGGGACTGGATGTTTCTTGGTCCTGCTTCTCCTCTCCTCCCACTCCACAACTTCCCAGGGGTCTTGGCTTGGGACTCCTCTGCTGCCTTGTTAGTTCTTACTTCTTTGTGTGCTGTACCAGCGGGGAGAAGGACACATACCCACAGCAGTAGGGAAAGAAAAGTGTAAATTTTACTTGCAATGTGAAATTTAGGAAAGATGGGCCCCCAAGGACCTAGAAATTAATTCTGAAGTATTACAGCACAAGATCAAATCAAGTTTTGTTTAGACAGAGAATGTGTCGACCTCATTCCATGTTAGATGCAGCCTTATTCTTTCCAGCGAAAAGTTTATAGTGTAGATGATTTCTGTGCTCTCTTCCAATTTCCATTAGCTCTAAAATGGTGTTGTTGGTGTTGTTTTTTCTTATTGGTAGCTGAGTAGGACAAAG